TTTTTTTTTTTTTTGGAGCAGCTGGTGCATGCCGAAAAAACCCCAAACCCCTAAACCCCAACTGTTCCTGTTGGGCTCAAATGCACCTTTGCTCGTGCGCTGGCTCCCTGCGCGCTCCTTGGCTTTTATTTCGTTTTCCTGCGTGGGACTAACGACGCTCCTCCCCGTGCAGCCTTTCTGTTTAGCGTAGCGTGCTAGCTTAAGATCGGGGTTTGCTAGATAATTAAGAACAGAGAACTCAATTATTTTAGGCCTGCAAGTTGCTCTCTTGGCAGTTAAGAGAGCAAGAGCACAACCCTAAAATTTAGTAACCTCCTCCAGCAGTTGTTTTATAGCAAGATCATTAATTTTACTTTTTTTTCTTTTTCCGGGGGTTAATTTTAACAACATCCCAAGTTGTGCTCATTAGTCGTTGGCATGACTGTAGGGTGGTATATGCACGTGAATATAATGAACGTGTGCAGCGAGTTGGGATCCACACGTTAACTTCTTATTTTTGGTGACGATATTGCTGATACGTTTGTATGTCTGTTAGGAGGAAGCTCTCACCCTGCCAAATCTCTGCGTTTCCTTTATAGCCTTCTCTTTTAAAGGGCGCAGTGTTACAGCGTGGTTATATCTGCGCGGCAGTCGTCTGGCTAATTTTGCAGGACTTTAGGAAGAAGAGGCTGGAGTCTGATGGCCTTGTGAAAGAAAAGGCAGAGCAGAAAATAAAGGATAATTAAGAAGTCATAAATATCCCATGTAATATCCACACTGTTCCAACTTTAATCACCTATTGAACGAGGTTGGTTTATAATTTATATCTCTTTAATTAGGTTTTAAATAGATCAGCACTTAACCTGGATTCTGAACAGCCCCATTTCCTTTTCCCCGCAAAGCTGAGCGTTAAAAGCCAGTGACAGACGCTCGATCTTTTAGTCATGTAATTTAAATGAAAGTTTTTTATTAAAAATGATATTGAAGTAGCTGGAGGAAAAGAAATCCACCGTATTTAAAGCTTGAATCACTGCTTTCATCTATTTCTCATTTTGCATCGTGCTTTACACAATTAGAGAAAGGAAATATCCGTGAGAAAAGTGCTGTTTTGTGTTAATACTAGCAAACCGGGGAGCTGATGCAGCGGGATAAAGCCGTCACGCGTTCCCAGGCAGCCGAGGGTCCGGCGGGGGCCGCGGGAACCTAGCTTAGCAGGGACGGATACTCGCTTTGGCAATGCCTGGGGTAATTTTGGGGGGATGTTAATCTGATTTAAGCTGGGTCTGGGTGGGCAGGCTTGCGTGAAACTCGTGGCCTGCTTACCTGTATCTGATGGCAGGGTCCGAGCCGTACTGGCATGTAAAGCAGATCCAAATACCGTCCTTCAGCCTTATTAAGGAGTTGACAGCAACTGCTTGCAGAGGATCTCAATTTTTTTGAAGAAGGAGAAAAAGCAAGGTACTGAGGTGCTAAAGAAACCACTGTAGCTGTGAAGAGACTAGTTCTGTCTGCTCTGAGCATACACAGAGTTACTGGAGCGTTTACCCTGCTGTTCCCCGCGGTGGCATAAGTGGCACCGCACCCTCACGTCGCCCCTGCAGCGGGCCACGTTCTGCTCCTGGCGCGCGAGGGTTGAGTTTTGGAGAGTCAGGCTCGTTTGCTTCATATCGTATCTGTGTCGCTAATCTTGCGAAGATCGGTATGTGAGCGTCTAAGTGCAATTTAATAAACCTGTTGGAGTAACTCGTGGGACCCTTCCTTTGCAGAAACGAAACTGTAATGATCTATAGCGAAAGGAGGAGGTCGTTTGCAAGGGCTGAGACTGGCATTACATGGTGTAATGGCTTGAAACTTTAAGAAAAAGGTGTGTGGGGGGGAACGTGGGTTGGGAGATAATACAGTCTTGACAGTAAGGGCCATTAAGCAGTGGAGTGGGCTCAGCTGTCTCCCTGGTGGGGAGTTATCATTGGAGGTGTTGGAGCGAGATGAGATGCTGGAGGGGGTGGATTGGGAGGCAGGGCTAGGTTTGATGGCTCATAGCATCTCTTCTGCTTTCTTCATGGAGGCAGAAACGCGTGGCCGTTCGACTTGCCCTGGCGCGAGTACAGCCCACGTGCCCTGGCAAGCCGAAACGTGCTGTCCCTGCTTCATGGGTGGCTTTGCTCAGGCTGGAGGGACATCAGGGTCCTGGGCTCCAGCTGGCTGTGAGCATCAAGTCTCCCTCCCTGCTAGGGGGACTTCTGAACAGGACTGTTTGGGGTCTACTTTCCACTTGGGAAAACTATATACGGCAAATAGTGATAATGCAGCTGGCAGGTGGAGGTGGGACATCACCCAAACCGTGCCTCCTGGGCTTCCCGCAGTGATGCTCTGCCCTTGTCCCTCCCAGCTGCTAAGAGTCTGCTCTGCTTGCATTGATCTGTTACAGGTACCATGATGTTTTTGGTCATCAGTGTTAGTTGGCTATCTCTATAAAACGTTTTAAGCTGTCAGAGTTAATTGTCAGGCTCTTTCCTGCCCCTTTGATCGCTCTGCAAGAGCGTGCTGTCTGTCTTTTTGCTTATTTCACAAAAGTAAAAATCCATTTGAAGGGAGAAATTGGCTTAATTGCTGAAAAGAAGGATGGGAGGTGAGTAGGTGACCTTGCTGCTTCCTATCCCTGGCTCTCACTTGTACAGAGCTCTTAATTGCCAACTGTTGAAGACTTTTCTATATTGGTGTTTCCATTAATCATTGGCTTTTTTTTTTTATTTGAAATGTGTCCTAATATAATAAATGTAGGAGGAAATAAGCTTTGTAGTAACAAAAAATTTATGGCTGTATTGTAGTGTTAAAATGACCATGCTAAGCCTTCTTGGCTGTAAATTGACTTAGATTTGGTTTTAAAATACCTCTTTAACTTGCTGTTATATAACCACTTATTTCGTTAATGCAGTGTCTTGCTGTTAGTTCTTTATGTGATTTTTTTTTTATGGGCTCTGTTATTTTTTTCAACGCGTGAAATACCTGTCGCTGAATACCTGAAATAGCGTAGGCCACATACTAGTGAGACACGCTCTCTAGACGTTGGTAATACTGGCTCTTCGTCAGAGGGCACGATGAAGAAATTCGTGCCGTGCAACCCATCTTGCAGAAGGGGAGACTGAGGCAGCGGGTAGGGATGGGAGCTGCCGGGTCGCCCCCCCGGACGCGGGAGGGTGTTCAGATACCCAGCTTGTGTCCAGCCTTGGGCGCAAGTGATTTAGCAGAACCCGCAGCACTCGTGCTGGGTTAAACACAAATTGCAGGTAAGATGTTTCACGGCAGCTTTTTCTAGCCGGTGTCGTGGGAAGGGACAGGAGGTGGAGAGAGGAAGGTTTCTCTTGTCGCTGCTCCTAGTTTTGTTCCTGGGCAGTGTCCTTGCACAGGCATGCCTGGAGGATGTTGAATTCAAGCAGAAATGAGTATGAAAGGGGAGGTTCTCACTGAGATCTGGCCCTAGATATCCAAGTCTCTGTAGTTATTAACGGAGATATTGCTTACTGCCCGGGTTTATCCTGGCAGCCTCAGATCAGATGTATTTTGTATGAGGAGGGCTATTTACTTTGACATGGGCATGTCACTTCACTTGTGTTTATGGGTCTGCAGTTTGCTGTTGAAAGTTGACTAAGTGAGAATGAGATTGTTTGTGTGTGTGTGAATGTGATTCGGTATTGCCACTTTTAGCTCTTCGGGGTGAGGAAATTCCTTCATAAACTATGAAACCAAAACTATTACATTTTAGACCGAAAAAGTGCAAGTGTTTTGTCTTCCCCTGTTGTTTGAGCCTTAAAAGATGAACGCCTTTCCTGATTTTCTTTGACCTTTTAGCTAACAACAACCCTTCTGAAAGGAAAGCTAACCTCACCTCCGGCCCCCAGGAGCGAGGGCTTTGGGGAAACCTCCAAAAGCCAAGGCTTAGCGTCGCTGACCGCTTGCAGCTTGAGAGGCTGAAGCAAGGGATGTTTCTCTTGCTTTGGGCCTGTGATTTCTGTAGCGCTCTGAATCAGCGGAGATGCAGTCCGTGCGCCCGTGCAGGCGCTCGTCGGCTGCCCCGACAGAGCCTGCCTTCTGCAGGGCTCGGTGCGTGCCGCAGGGTCCCCCCTCTGCAGCGGGACTCGCGTGAGCCGAGCGATGGACTCGGGCTTGGCTTGTTGTGATGGAGGAAGGATGGGATGGGGCATCTGCCGGAGGGTTATAGTCGCATTCAGAGACACGTATACTAAAAGGGATCTGTTGCCGTGTCCTGTGCTGTTACTGTTATTGCTGTGGTTGTGAAAGGATGGAGACGGTAGACAAATGACACGGCTGTTGTTTGAGTCTTTATGCAAATTACGAGCATAAGCTGCATGTTGAACTGCATGCATTGCTGTACGCGTTGTAAACCCACAGCTTCCAACGCTGGCTTCTCCTTCCATCTCCGCTCCTTCATCTCTTCTGGCTGCCTGCAGCTCCGGACCAACGTGCCCACAGGCATACGGGAGACGACGGAGCGATGCTCTGTGTCGCTCTGCTCAGCGCCAGCCCGTCTGTGTGTGGAGCGTGTGGGAGTAAAGCAAGCATCTGTGCTGGCGTCCTCGCGTAGCACGCTCGTCGGGGCTATTGCTCAACAGTCCCGGCTCTACCTTAGCACATCTCCCTCGGCCGAGCTACTCGCTCAGGACAAATTCCAAGAAGCTTTGTAGGTTTGCCTGAACGGCCACTGCAATGCTGCATAGAGTTGGTTTCCTCTCTGCTCCCCGTCCTAATGCAAGGTCTCTGCCCTCCTTGTGTGTGTCTCCAGGGTCAGATCTGCAAGTATGCATCCCGAAAGGCTCTACGTGCTGCTCGAGGAAGATGGAGGAGAAGTACCAGGCTGTGGCCCGCCTGAACATGGAGCAGCTGCTGCAGTCGGCCAGCATGGAGCTGAAGTTCCTCGTCATTCAGAACGCCGCCCTCTTCCAAGGTGGGAGCCTGCGGTGGTCCGGGCGCGAGGAGGCAGTGCTGGTCTTCCTTGGCACGTGGTGCTCGGAAGAGCCGGTGGCTGGAGGTTTTCTGTTTGTTAGTATTCCCCCCCTTCCCTGTGTCTTACTTGCTTTTTCTTTTGTTGCATTAAAGCTGTATCTGCCCAACGTGCAGCATCAATGTTCCTCTGCTTCACTTTGGTAAGTGGGAAGGTTGCTTTGAGCGCTGTGCACTGAGCTTCAGGGATGGCTTACATCTTTTGGCTTGAGAGGAAAGACAGATTTGCGTTTTGGCTGCGCTGGGGCTGAACTGGTGTGGTTTGTTCCAGCCTCTGTCCTCGCCTGTGCTTGCCTCCACTTGGATGCTGGAGACCCCCAGGCCCAAGGCTGGATGCTAGTCCAGAGCCAAGGCTTCAGCCTTTGCCCTTTGTTAGACTTCACTCGTTTACTGGGATCTCTGTTACGAAGGACACCTGTATAGCATTGCATGAGCAGGCTGGTGCGTCCTGGTGTGTGAACCTTTAGCGCTGTTGAGATCCTGATACCCAGCGAGAGGAAGAGCATTGAGAGCCAGGCTGGGATTTTCTTCCCGTCTGGCCTGAAGCATGTCCCGCGCTCCTCTACAGGGCAGCTCTGCGGGGACCATCCTGAATATTCCTGTAGCTGAAGCAGCACATGTAAATTTGAAGGCCAAGCCTATTTAAGTGCAAATTTAAAAATAAATGAAAACCCCCTTCTCCGAGAATTAACCAGTCTCTGTACGTACCGTCTTGTCTGACTCTGCCAGTTCCAAAAAGCAGCTTGCAGCAATATGATCTGGTGGTTACCCCAGTATAATGCTTGGTAAGCATCTAATGGGAAGTTATTGGTATCCGCCACCAAAGTTGGCTGTTCCTGGTGGAGGTGGTAGAGACTGTGCTCATCACAAGCGCCATCTGTCATGCTTGCCATGGCGTATTGGACTGCTTGGTAACCTGATGTCACGCTGAACAACGATAGCCCTGTTCTTTTCCTTCCTGTAACGTGAAGTATTGTCTTTTTAGCAAAACTGACCTTTGACAAATGATTTCTGTTGCAAAATACATGCCAATTTGTGTTGTCACTTAAACCTGCGACCGTTTTTCAGAGCCTTTACGCAAGCGAAACTTATTCCCCTTGATCGTTAATGTGCAGTGGAATGATTGCTTGTTTGTTGAGTGCTCTCATACTGGGAATCCATTGTTCTGTATTGATAACATTTTTGCCTATATTTAAAAAAGAAGGCATGAGCAATCAAGCATTTTTTTCCTTCATGCTGATATTTTTGTGGAATAATCTGATTCATTTTTGTTCATGCCTCGCTAACAGCAAGACCCAAAACCTGCTAAAGCCCACGGGATCGTGGCAAAGCTCTGTTCTGGTCCACGTCTCAGATGCGTTGTGTTTCTCTGAAAGTAAAACGAAATAAAACACTGAGGAGCTAACAGCATTTTTTTCCCCCAATGCTTCTTAATGCAGTGGCCATTCGATTCCCATTCTGCTAGACCAAATGGGTAAAGCTGATGAGGTACTTGATAGGCGTAGGAAACGTGGACTAGCTTCAGAAATGGTGAATAAGCTGGCTGGAGTACAAAGTCTCTGCCTCATCTGCTACCACTTGACAAAAAAATTGCAGTTTTGGAGTTCTTACAGTGTAAGGAATGAAATCCAAATGTTATTAAAGGTTGTATCTAGCACAGTGGAGGCAGCTGCTGTTCACTATGAACCTTCTGCCTCTTCTGGAGAGAGTTGCATCCCTTGCTCTGATTTTTTCACCACAGATACCACCCTGGAACCCTTTCTGCACGGTGGGGTTTTGAAGCTAATGGTGTTCTGGAAAGCCTTGGTCCAGTGAATTGCTTTCTTCATATTGGGGACAGAAAAGCATTTCATCGAAACATTCCTTACTGCTTCTGCTAACGAAGCTCATGGCTGATTTTAGAGATCATCTGTAATACCATTGTAGAAGAGGAATTTCTAACTGGAGCCTTAGAGGAATTCACTTTAATTAGTTTATATAAAGTGTTTTGGACTCGGAAGGACAATTCATTAGTTTTCCAAAAGATAACGAAAGTACGCAGTTTAAATATAGATGCTCAACGTCTGCAGATCAACACTTCTTTTAGGTGGATCTTTTGATTGCTGTTTGCGTATTTTGACAGCTGCAGAGCCCAGGGCTGTTTCAGCTCCAGAAATTGCGTCTGGACCCAGCATACCACAGTCTGATTTCTTCTTTCCCCTCGCTGTTCACCGTGTGGGGCAGGCAGCCGTCTCGGGCTGTATAACTAAGGGATCTGGCACTGCGGGAGTTTCGGTTTGAGACATCGCACCCGTGGCCCGTTGGCTGCCTCCGGTTTTGCCAGGGTGTGTGCCAAGGGCAGCTGGTTGCAGACCAAAAGCTGCCTGTGGTCCTTGTGCTGCCGGGAGGTGTAGCAGGTCCGTCGCTTGGGGTTGCAGAGAGATGCTCTCGCGCCCGGCGGTGGGTCGGACCCCGGCGTCTGCCGAGGATCCTCCGCCGAGGACGGGCAATTGCACCGCTGTCTGAAGCAGGGTAATGTGTTGGTATGGAAACATACCCTAGCCACTCATTAAAAACGCAAAAGTGAAGCCCTTCAGTGTTCATTTTAATATCTCCAGCCCGGCATCTAAAGGGACTGCTAGTCTGACAAACAAAATCTCGCCAG